CTAACATCCAAAGACAGTATCATCCTTGTTCAGTCTGGAGAAGGTGGGGCTGTTTGCTTTACTGTACATGTACTATAGTGGCATTGTGCCCCTAACAGAGATCACTGTCTGTGTTTACCTCAGCCCTCCCAGCTCCTGAAGCTTCTTCCTGCATTCTACCTTCAAAAGGGTGCCATCAATAACCTGGTCATACAGTCAAGAAATCAAGTCATCAGCCTGTAGGATGCCCTCTCTCATTCAATCACCAAGTCTTTGAGTGATTCTAATAATCTCCCAATAAAAATCTCCTTTCCACCCCTCCTGTGGAGGTTCAGTGCAGACTTCTAGTGAATTGTCCTAATAAAATGAGGTCATGCTTTCCTGGGAGCAGGGACTGGCACCCAGAGCAGTGTGGTAAGAGCAGGAAACAGGAGTGGTGGATTCGAATTCCATTCAATATGCACCAGTAGGAGGGTAAAGGTCTGAGCTTTAGTTTCCTCATTTGTAAAATGAAAGAAGTAAGAATGCCTCCTTCCCTGGGTTGTTAGAATGTTTAACTAAAGTTAAGACGAAAGAATAGTCAGAATGCAGTGTGAACATTATATTATTGCTAGCAGCGTTTATTATTTTATTATACCTATAATGACCAATGAGGAAACCGAGGCTAAAAAAATGTTAAAATCTTCTCTAGAATCATAGAAACTATTAACAGATCTAGCGTAAGCATCTAGGTTTATTCTTCACTAAAGGCCGTTCTGTCTCTCTCCCTCCCTCTCTCTGTCTCTCTCTCAATATAGCACATGTAGGAATCTCAATGCAGGTGCTTATATGACAATGGAATCTCTAAAGTATTATCAGAGAAAGACGCCATATATTACACAACACAATATGAATAATATGATCTCACCCCCACCTTTTGCTGGAGACAGTGTCTTGCTATGTAGTTTGGGCTGGCCTTGAACTCAGTACCAAGTCCAGGATGGACCTTGAACTTGAGGCAATTCTCCTGAGTCAGACTCTTGAGTGTTGGATTGCAGGTATGCCCCACCATGCTCATCTAATTTCATTTTTTAAAACTATAGAATTCATTACAAACTTCTCTATTGTAGTCACTGACTGATGCATATCCTCTCATCTTTCTCTTTATCTATTCTCTCCCACTGAACTAATTGCATAGCGCAGGGCCAGATACACAGGATTTAATGTTTTTTAAATTGGTGAGCGGCGTTGGATTTTTAAAAAATAAGTGATTTGAGCAGGGCATAGTGGTGTAATCCCAACACTCTGGAAGCTAAGGAAGGAGGATAGTGTGAGTTATAGGACAATGTGGGCTACAGAGAGAGGTCAAGATCAGCCTGAATTACAGAGACCTTGTCTCAAAAACAAAAAAGTAATTTAACTTATTTATTTATTAGAGAATAGTTAACAGATGACATATTAATAACTTATAAATAACAAAATATTCAAACTATCCCAAAATTTATTCAGAGGAAAATAATATTCATTCTACTCCTTCCTGTAGAAACCTGATTCCTATCCCAAGAGGCATTCATGATGACCAGTTCATCCAGATATTTTTATAGAAGTGAACTGAAATTTATGACTTCTAGTGAAATTTAAATTTGCTCCAGGGAGTAATGTTATTTCATAAAAATTTAGGCCCTTTGTTTTCTTTTTTGAGAAGTATCAATTTCTCTCAAACCTACGCAAAGGGAAACTCAAACTTTCTGAGTATGTATAGATGGCAAGACTGACAGAGAAAGATGCCAGTACTGTATCCACAAACTCCATCAACTGAAACCACCGTCTGACTCCATGCAATTCTATTTAGAGTCCCACCCCTGAAGTGGGTCTTATGATCCATTTCTTCATAATCCTTTGCTGAGATTTGGTTCTTATTTATTGTGCAATTTGGGGAAAAGAATTGGTGTTCTGTGACTTGAATAAGACAAATGATTTTCCCTTTCTTTCAGCAAAATGTTGAGGTCACTCTAACACAACTCATCACAGTTTGAGACAAGAAAGTGCTTTCTGGAGGACGAATAACACCCTTTTCAGTGTATTTTTGTCAGACAGATGCCTGCCACATCCCTGCAATACACATTATCCTACTACTTTCTGAACAAAACCTCTTAAAGGGACTGGAAACTTAGAACAGCTTTTGTCAGGATGCTAACTTGCTGTAAGTACGTGAGCTTTTGTCATTGTACTGCACACTGAGACTTAAACATTGCTGAGAAACAACACTGGAGATGTCACTCCTTAAAATGGAAAATCAGGCTGTATAAGAAGTTGTATGGTTTTAGAGGATACTGAAATATTTACTATTCTCTGCTTTATTCTGAATATATGAGTTTGGATGTTTCTATTCCTTCATGATATTTTTCTAGCTTCCATTTCTATACTTTAAGTATGTTTTCATTTTATTTTAAAAAGACAGAACAGATTGAACAAAAAAAATCACCTTTGCTACCTAGGTTTTCCCAGTGCTTTTTACTAAAAAACTTGCAGTCTAAGAATTTGAAACTTAAGTAATAGCTATAGTTCTTTTCATAATATATTTTGGGAAATAACTATTTCCTTCTTCCTTGCTAGTATCTTTCCTGTTCTTTTTTATCATATCAGTGCGGTGAATAAAAGAGTTGGTGTCCAGACATACCCTCTGCTTTTATTTTGTTTAAGACTGATGTAGACGTGGAAGCTAGTGACTAGATAAATGGAGTCTTTGTTTCACTGGGTCTTCACTGCATGACATACCAACCGATAACTGAAGGGTTCTTCCTTCTCTCCTAAATCTGTTTTGTCACCAAATTATCTATTTGTTATTCCTAGTCTTTGGTGTAGACTTGGTGGTCTCGCTGCCTGTCAATGAACTCTTTTTTTAAATGTGTCCTTTGTTAGTGCCTTCTTCTCGTTGCTCCTAACTCCTCAGTTTCCACTGGTAAGGCCAACCATGAGGCCTTCTGCCAGCTGATCTACCCCAGCTCAGCCAACTCTCATTGCAGTTCTCACAAATTGGAGGAAAGGCCTCACTGGGCTAGGCAGAAACCTTAGAGCTCCTAGGGAAAACAGACCTCAACTCCTGGTGTGTTCTTCTTATTTATTAGAGATACTATTTCTTTATATTTAGGAACTTCCGTTTCCAAGCATTTGTCTTCCTGTATTCTTTAGCAGAATTATTTCTCTATTAGATACTGAATTCTTCTGGTGTTTACAATACACTTTGAATAGGTGTTACATATAAAAAATTAATGCAGATTTGTCAAATGAATGAGAAGGTTAAGTTTTCTGCTGAGTTTAATTGAGCAAATCAAACCATAAAATGACAATGACATATGACTGCATCTAGCTCTGCTTGCTAACTACTCTTCACCCACACATGGAAACATTTCTCTTCCTGGCATTTCTCCTGTGATGTCGACTGGTCAGCAGTTGGCACAAGACTAGTTTGACTTCCTGGTTTAGCACTTAATAGCCTTGTGACTTCGTGTGAGTTGATTGATCTCTCCATGACCAGTTTCATTTCTATACCTGCCCACTCACTTTATAGACTTGTTTAAGGATTAAGTGAGCTAATACCTGCAAAACACGTAGAAAAGAGCTGGAACAGCACTACTTAAATGTTAGCTCTCAGTATTACGTAGTTCTTCCTACGTAATGAGATCAAGATATTGCATTTTTGCCTTGAGTCTCAGGTCAATGACCTGCACTGAGCTATCTCTTCCAGGAATATACTCAAGGTTGGGAATTTAAAAGAAAGCCATTGCATCTCTGAGTGAAGCAGGACCTATTCTCTTTGAGCTTCTTTACAATTAATTGAATGCTCATTAATCAACAGTCATGAAAAGGAGCCAAAGGTATTGAAATGGGATATAGCTCAAGTTTCATGACAAACTATATTTTAATTTGTCTGCAACTTATGAATCATATTTTCCTGAAAAAAGTCATATTTAGATGCTAAGAATTTTCTTAATTTTTATTAAGTCATTCCTTCTTTATAGTTGGAGATTGTGGCTAATTCCAAGGCAGTTATTAACACTGCATATGATTGCCTTTTTTGGTACCCAATTAATATAAAATTAAGTTAGAACTTTTTTTATAACCAGGTTTTGGTGTGTATGTTTGCCAACCTAAGGACTTCAGTATTAATTTCATAAAAAACTCCAAGTAAGTATTTTTTTCAGCTATGTTGTAAGGTAAGATCAATGGTAACACTAAAATTTTATTATCAATAAACAAAACAAAATAATGTTTTACTAGTACAGAGTACTGCCAACTATACTACATTCAGAAGGGACTAAAATGTTTCTAAAAAGCTGGTGCCAGCATGCTAGTGCATGTCTGTAATCCCAGGGCTTGGGAGGCTGATGCAGAAGGATCACCACCAGTGTGAGGCCATTCTGGGCTACATAATGAGTTCAAGGCCAGTTTGAACCACAGTTTACCATTTTTTCCCAGTCACTGGGTGACAACATGCAAACATATAAAAGATTTGATCTATGTGCTTAAGCACTGATGCTCAGCTTCAAGTTAGCACCAATTAGACTATAATTACAGTTAAGGAACCATACCTCATTTGGGGGTTACTAATTGTATAAATTAGTTTTAAGGGAAAGTTGACGCTGTATAATGATTAGATGTTGGCCTAATCTAGGATGTTTGCTTGTTTCTATTGTTACTTAACTGCTCATCCCTAATGATTAGATTGCTCCTTTATTCCTACACAAGATGGAAAGGAATTGATTTTTTTCCCTTTGCCACACAATTGAATGATTTGCATAATGCATTGTGAAACTTCTTTCAGATTTTCATGTGTTTACCATATATTGTTCCGAATATGTCAACAAGCTAATTTTCCTGGAAAAATGTACAGATTCAGAGGAGAGCCTGGGCTATCATTTTGAATATCTACAATGAATCTATCTGATAATGTTTTCAGGCAGCCAGATCCCCCCCAGAGAAACAAGATACAGGATTTTCTTTTGTTTGTTTCTGTATTTGCTTTTTGTCATGTGACTTACCCACAATGACAGCGGTGACAGTAAGCAGCACAAAAGCATTCCGAAACAGGTAACTTTTAACATCCTCCTTTGTGATGTTCTGCACTTTCTTCTTAGCCAAAAGTGTGCGTTTGCGGACTCCTTGCTGGAATCTTTCCATCCTGCCTCCCATCCTGGGCTCTTCCCCATTGCCTTTGGTCATGTCTTATTTTTCTGAGAATGTCTCTTCTTCACACTTCAGTCTCTTGGAACTACCCCAGAAAGTCAAATCTCCTCTTTGGTGTTAGAGAACACAACTAGACCAGGAAAGAAAGAGACAAGAGTTACAGATTTCAGGGATGAGAAATCAATGCTGCCCCATACTGTGGCAGGCTATGGGTAAAATGCATAATCTTAGGAGAAATCAAGGATTGGCGAGCCATAATATGCAGCTTCTAGGCTAGAATGTGCGTATCGTAGAGGACCATGTGTGAGAAATGGGTATAAATTCAGAATGTAGAAGTGGCAATTTGTGTTCTGTTTCTCAAAGTTTGTCCTTTCCCCTCCAATCAGGCTAAAAAGAGGGCCCTTCTGAGCCACACGTGAGGTGCACCCTCCATCCTCAGCCTACCCCCAAAACTTGGTGAAGGGCCTTGCACAATGAACATGCTCAATAAATGTCCAATTAGCTCAACATATAGGAAGTACTCGACAATTGAGTGATAACTCATGTTGTATTTGTGGTTGAAGGCATAACTAGGTCAATGAAAAGGGCTAAGATACTGATAATCATTAGGTGACTGTGCTACATGTAGTAAAGTAACTGATTAGTTTCATTAAGGGGGAAAAGAAAAAAGAGTTGGGCCAAGTGGCACACGCTTATACCTAGTTATTCCAGAGGCTATCACGGGAGGATTGCAGGTTCTACTCCAGCCTGGACAATTTAGCGACTTGGCAAAGCATAGTCTCAAAATAAAAAGAGGTGGGGGAAGCCAGGTGTGGTGTCCCACACCTTTAATCTCATCAGTTAGGGGCTAAAGTAACAGGATTCCAGGTTCAAGGTCAGCCCAGACTACAAGGAGGGAGTGGTGGGTGTGGGCCTGGGTCAGGCAACTCAGAGATTAAGTGACCCTGGGTTATGGAAGACTCTGAGAAGAAAGAAAAAAAAATATGAGAATATCAACCAGTAATATCGTTGTGAAAAGAGCACAGAGGATATGAGAAATTCTGCCTACTTTACAGGATACCTTTTGAATTTTTTTCCATGAAATAACCAAGTGCTCCAGGCATGTCTAACAAATTATCTGAAATTATAATTCATTTTCATTTTATTATAAACTCAAAGACAAAGTGGCATTTGCCTGTGCGGCAAACACATCAACGTCTTCTGCGGAAACTATCACTGACTCCTACGTATTTTAAAATTTAGGATTTCTGCATGAAGTAACGAGGAGGATCCAGTTTTTCAATCCAAGCATTACAGTGTGTGGTTTCTAATTTCTTTAAAGCACTCAGGTTATTCAAACGCAATTAAGAAAACCTTTCCATGCTGGCAATCAGCGATTCTGGAAAACCAAGGGACTCCTCCCGCGCCTTTTAGAGTGGTGACCCCTAATCTTTCCCGCGATCAGGGGCAGGGAAGCGCGGGTGCCTGCGCACGGTGCGACTGGCCGGGAGAGCGCGGCTGCGCGTCTACGGGGAGGTAACTGGACACCCAGGATTCCTCGCAGGCTTCGGCAAATCCAAGGGTGGAAAAAAGATTTGCCTAACAGTTTGACTTTTAAACAAAATTGCGGGTTGAGGTCACGGATCTGAAAATCTACAGCTTGATTAAGACTTTGCACCGCATTAGGAGTTTAGAGCCAGATTTTTTCTATTTTTTTCTAACTGCGCTGGATTCTCTTTACCAGCCCGTCACGTTAAAGCAGACCGGCTCAATCTCGACTCTCTTCTTGATCTCCAACCACAACCTACCCCTAATTCACCCTGAGCGACTCAGATCCAAATTGGGAGTGGATCCGGTGCAGACACCACACGCTCGCTCCGGACGCTCAGCTGCTGGCGCGGACTCCATCCACCCACCCACAAGGCCAGCTCCTGCGCTCCGCTGGAGCACGACGTGGACTGGCAGGGAGGAGGGCAGAGAAAGGAAACCCAGCTGGATCGTGGGTCCGGACGCTTACCTCTTCTGATTTCCCAGCGGGTGGAAGGCAGCCCAGGCAGTGACAAGGTGCAGTCCGGGCAGGTAGGACGGCGCAGCAGGACGCAGCGAGCGAGCGGCAGGCTGGCCCGGACCCTCTGCATGTGCTCGCCAACTGCAAGTTACTATCAGGGCCACTTAAGAAACGGGGCGGAGCCTGGGCGCGGGAAAGGGGGAGCGGGGAAACGAAAACAGAACCGGGAAGGCGGGGAGAGCCCCGAGGTTTCTGGAATATTGATTAATTTTTGGCTCACCGAATGCAGGCTTGCTGGCTCAGACCACTTTCACGCTTTGTCAGCTCACTTTTCATTAGGAATGCAAGATCGGGACCAGGAAGATTGGAAAATAAAGCTCGCACACACTTGGGAAAGCTGGAAGTCTTGATTAGAACACTTTCAAAGACTTCTCTAAGGCTAAGTTTAATTACTTCCCATTACTGCAGGTTTCCTCCCTCCCCTCCAGGGAACACGAGAATGTGCTCTTTTGCCTGGTTGTACAAATGTTGTGAAAAAGAATTGGGAATACAAATGACGTTTCTCGGGAAGATCCTGAACATAAATATAGAAAGAAAATGCGAACTCTAATACTCTACACTTTCCTAAAGTAACTCAACATGCCTCTGTGTTAGCAGCTTAAACCGCATAATTACAAGCCTAATTGAGTTCTGGTTCCCTGCACAGCAGACTGAAAAGGTGAGAAATACAAAGAACTAGGATCTTCGCCAGCATGTTTAAGACCAGAGTGCAGATACTCACTCAGAGTCTCCTGGTTGTGAAAGAGTAGTTGCTCTTCAGATGCCTGGGGTGTGAAGAATACAGGACACCTCCTACACAGCATTTTTAGGAGTTAGAAGACGGTCAAGTGCTTTGAGAATACAACTGGCACTCTAGCTCATTTTGCTTAAAAGGAAAATAAATTGCGAAAATAGATATCAAAAATTATTTTTTGAGCCCGACTCACTCACAAAACTTAAAATTTGCTAAGAAGAAGAGAATAGTCCATTAGAAACCAAGACTTCTACCAAAAATTATAGCCAGAGTTTTGTGTTCTTGTTCACTAAATTCCCCATGCAAAATCTGCTCAGTTCATGTGTCTTGTTATCCAACACAAAAGTGTGTACTTTTGTTCCTCATTAGCAGATCTAGGGAGTTATAAAAAAATATCTTCTGACATCCTCAACTGCTCATGGATACGCTTTTGAGCAACTACTGGTTGGTGTATCATGTGGATGCCTTAAAGTTACAAATTAACAGCAATTACAACAACCTTTAAATCTGGCATTATTTTGAGTTTTTGAAAATGTGTTCTCTTACAGTTTCAGCTCTCAGCTATTTTTCCTTTTCTCTGATCGGGTAGCTTGCTTAGCATCTGTACCACATTATTTAGCATTTAATTGTACCTTGTCTCCTTTTAAAATCATCATAGGTTTTGGCTTCTGAACTAAATTGTAAGTTCTTTGAGGGCAAAAACCTGTTTCATGCCTGATATGAAGTAAAAATAAAGCAATTTTTACAAATGGCTAGCACAATAAGAGTGTGAAACCAAGTGATTTGTGTGTGTGTGTGTGTGTGTGTGTGTGTGGTGTGTAAACAAAGCTACTTGTTTTATGTCTCTGGCTTGAATGCATGGGGCAGATTTTATTTTTCAGTACCATGATTACTGTGTGTGTGTGTGTGTGTGTGTGTGTGTGCACGTGTGTGCACGTGTGTGTGTTTGAGATAGGATCTTGCTCTGTAGTTCAGACTGATCTCAACCTGGTAGCAATCCTCCTGCCTTAGCCTCAGTGCTGGGAATATAGGCATGTGCCACTACACCTGGCCCTATGACTACTTTTTAAAAGTATTTATTGACTATACCAGCTCCTACTTGATCTATGAATTTAGATTCAATTTGCTTACATAAAAAGCTTCTTGTAGAAGCTTCTTGTTCACTTCTTGAAGTGCTTTGTATTTCAAGAGAACTTGAAGGAAATCTGATAATTTGAAGTGGCTTTCAAGCCCAGTGGCACTTCTGTTTATGTATGTGTGTATGTATGTATGTATTGTATATTTTATATTTTTTCATAGCAAGAAGAAGAAAGGCTGGAAAACCACATTTTGGTTAGCACAGAGATGAGATCTTGTTTGCCTCCAATTCCTAAATTTTGGTTACAAACCATTTCATTATTTCAGTTTGTACAGTTATGATACCAATCTGGTGTTCATTGAGAAGGGGAGTAATTCACCACCGAAAGTTTTGTTGGTTGTAATAAAACCTAATGAGAAAATGAGATGCAAAGAGTCTCAGATCAGAGTTCATTGGAATGGCTAGGTTTTAGTCTGGAGGAAACATTGGAAATTACTTCTTTTAAGCACTGCCTTCGATTTTTGGAAAGCTATATTAACAATGCTCAAGGGACAACCTAAGTTTACTTAGTGTATTTCTACCTTTGTCTTCTACTTTATAGTTATGACCCTTGAGCTTTGGAGATTTTTTTTTTCCTTCATAGGAACTGCACAAAAATGAGAGATCAAGAAACCGTGAGTAAACTTTCGTATTTCATCTAAAGCTACTTAGGAGTAGGAACACAGAGCCAGGAAATCATCAATGTTAGGATTCCAGAATTAGAGAGAGAGAGAGAGAGACAGAGACAGAGACAGAAACAGAGACATACTGAGAGAGAGAGAAAGAAAGAGAAGCCGGTCACCACAAGCAAACACATGTGGCAAATGCCATTCCTTTTGCAAACTCTGCCAAGACAAGAAAAAATGAATTTCACTCTTTAGTGGAGCATCCCCACTAGCTGGTTTGAAGTATGAGAGATCAAGATAATAAGCAAGTGCTGATCATAATTTTGAACAGGACAGTCAGATTTCAGCACTCAAAATAAGGAAATTATGGTGAATTGGATTCTTTGAGAAAATTGATTAAGGAAATCTTTTAACTTTTAGTGAGTATGTTTCACTTTTATTTTTAATTTCAGGAGATGTTTTTAAAAAAATCATTCCTTTTCAAAATAGTTTGCACTGCAGAATTGCCCTAAGGAATGTCAATTCTTCAATATTGAAATCATAGAATGTTAAGGTAATGAACAGGACCTGACTTGACCTCGGAGCATAACATGAGACGAGCAGAGGGTATAGGAGAAGCAGTACTGGTGGTGGTTGGTCTTTCATATGTTTTAATCCACCACCCCACTGCCATGCTGGGTACTGAACCCAAGGCCTATACACTGAGCTATATTGCAGGCCTTTTTTTCTTTTCCTTTATTTTTTTCTATTGATTGATTAATTGTTGAGACAAGATCTTGCTGAATTGCTCATGCTGGGTTCCAACGTGATATTCTGTATCAGGCTGCCACAGTGCTGGGATTAGAGGTGTGTGCTGCCACACCTAGCTAACAACTGCTTTTATTTCAAATTAGCTAAATTCAGACACAAGGATGTCTTAAAAAAATCTAGCCATTATTGGGCACATGGCAGTGCAGGTCTGTAATCCCAGCACTCTGAATGGCTGAGACAGGAGGTCTCAAGTTCAAGCCCTGGGCATCTTAGGGATTCAATGAGATTTTTATCTTGAAATTAAAAATAAAAAAGATCTGGGGAGATAACTCAATGCAAAGGCCCTGGGTTTAAACACCATTACAGAAGGAAAAGAAAAAAAGTAAAATCTCCAGCACCTTTAAAAAATACTAAAATTCAAGAGGATCTAGTTTTTAATGAAGAAGTCACAATTGTTATCACTATTAATATTGTAAAGTGGTCCTTTCTCCAGCTGCCCAGTATGAGCCAGTCCTCTATAGGACCAGTTTTACTTTAGTGGGGAAGATCAAGTCAATCATCTGGAGTTAAAGCCTTTTCCAGTATTAATAACAATAACCAACATTTTTGTAGGGTTTTATTAGTACTTTTAAATATGTTATCTAATCTTCAAGATAGTGCTTTGAGGAACTATCAATTATTACTGGTCATGTATATCCAGATGTTGACATGGAAGTTCATATTGGTTGAGCAATTTTCCCAAGATTACAGTCAGGCAGCGGTTCTGGTTAGCAGTTCTTGGAACTTTTCTCATCCTTTCTCATCTTCTTCCAAAAGAAGTCTCCAGGAACTTTTATTAAATAGAAAAGAAAATCAAGAACATTATGAGAAAGACCTATCATCTTTTATGTCCGGGAAATGGACTCTAAGCTCCTACTCTCTAGATCCAACGGGTCCCTCCCATGTGTCCCAACAGCCCCTCCGTGTGCATTTCTAAAGTCAGTACCAGTCTGTGCTGCAGTTCTTTTCGATCCATCTGTGATTCTCAGACTGAGGAAACATCAGTAAACATCAAACTTAAAATCAAGAAAAGCCAGCGAGTTCTTTTACCAAACATTACAATATAGACTAGATCCAAGTGGTGCTTCTCTAATTGAATGAGTGGAGGGTCAGGTCCAGTTGATGTCCCCTTTTTATTTCCAGGTCCTCGATCTGTGGATTCTTCACAGAACCATTTGGAGACAAGGATGAATGGGGAAGTCAAGGCTGTTTATTCCATAATTCCTTAGTGCAGGTTCAGTTTAGAACTTAGGTCCCTTGACCTACAGTTACACTGAGTTTGCAGTCACTAAACCACATGCTTCCACTTCCAATTCTTAATGAATATCATCCATAAAATTGGGTTAGATTCTATTTCTCTAGTCCCTTTCCAGTTCTAAATCATGTCATGCCAATAATGGCTTGCCATATCCTCTATGTAGTATTTAGTTAAGCACACACATTTTTATATACTCAATGATTAATAGCTTCTCATTACGGTTCCCTGCCACAAGTTAAACACAAACATAATACAGTCACCAAAAGAAGCTTATTGAAAGACACAGTTTTTATGAGGCACAGTGATGACATGACTCTTTTATAACTGTTTGCTGGTATAGAATCATAATTACAGCAATCAAGACAGATACACATCTTTTGTAAGGAAAAAGTAATTATAATTTAAAAGCACACAGCTCAAAGTTGCCATCACAAAAACGACTATTATAGCAACTATTTCGCATTTGGACATTTTTTTGGCAGGCGGTCTGGGCATTGTTTATTGTGAGTCAGAAACAGGCACTGAGAAAATATGCAAATTTTTTGAGCAACAGAAAATGCAGCTTGGAGCTGAGAAATCAGGAAGGATGATGGAAACTGTCTGGACCTTGA